TTCCTTTGGAAGTTCTCCACTCATTTGTCAGGGTTTCCGTATTTTGACACGACATTAACACTGCCCTCAAAATGTGCAGGCAGTGGTTTGACACCTTGTGCACACCTGCCATCTGGTGGTGACACAGAGAAATAAACGAAGATCCTTTCTTTTTATTTCACGGTTAACAAGATGAAACTCTGAGTTTGGTCAGTGTAAATTAAGAAAGGTGCATTTCTAAAGACATAGCCTCCAAAGATGGGGAAAGTCCACGAGCAAACTGTGTTGTTAGGGTGCCTGGCGGGGTGGGCGGGTGAGGGTGTGGGATGGCACAGCAGCCCCTGGGGCTGGGGTGGGCCTGCAGGTGTGCAGAGCGGGGCTCTCTTCCCAGTGGGTGTGCTGTCGCCTCCTCTGGAGCCAGACTCTTTCCTGACTGGGCCCAGAGGAGCTGGGGCTTCCTGGGGCTGATATGTAATTTAGGGATGACCTAAGGCAGAGTTGGAGAAACTGTACCCTGTACTCTGGAACGTTGTGATAAAGGAGAGGCATTCTAACAACAGCATTCACTCAGAAAGAGCAATTAACTCATAAATACTCTTAATCAGAAAGGCTAGGGTTTACCTTTTAACTTTACAAGGAAGCTGCATGAACCTAAATTGACAAAATGGAACAACCTTATGGCATTCAGGTCTACAGGCACTCTGGACGCCACTGTGTTCGCACTTACAAAAAGCAAGCGTCTTCTGTATTGACTCTTGAAGCCGGGGCTGGCGAGGACCGTGGTGGGGCAGAGGAGATGCCCTGCCTCTGCGTCCGTCAGCAGCTGGAATACATCCTCATTATATCCATGAGAAAAATAAAAGAATCAGGGTGGAGAGAACAGACAGAATAGGTTTAGAAGATGCAGGCTCTCATTCTGGCTTAATTGTGACAAGTCTTTTGAGTCTGAGCCTCAGTCTCTTCTCTTATGAAATACAGTCTTCACACTTATCAAGACCACAGTGAGATGGAATGAGCCTGTGGAAGCGGAAGGGTTTTAGAGGTCATGCGTGTAGAGGACATGGCTATGTCCGTTGCCTTTGTGTCGGCCCAGGCAGCTGGACAGAGTCTCAGGTGAGTGTGCAGCAGGAGCTGTGGGGCGTGCCCCGTGTTGAGGCAGCGAGGAAGACTTCATTCAAAGGAGGCTACTATAGTGGGCTTTGTAGTGGGGAGAGAGTTCAGGCTCAACTCAAAATACGGTAAGGAAAAGTTTGGATTTATATCCAAGGAGCATTTCTGTGAGGTAGGGTAATGTTTTGCTAACGTGATCAACAGGATTTTTGTTGAAGGCAGACTAGAGTCAAATGTCACGGCACAGCGAGTGGTCAGACCAAAGGCAGGAGATCCACCCTGCCCTGAGGAGGCAGGGTCCTCGCCAAAACTGGAATCGGGTGGTCAAAGACAGAGCCCAAGATCCAAGATCCAGAGAGTAGTCAGAAAGAGAACTCGGAGGAGACTTATTAGAATGAGGTCAGAATCCTCCTGAATAAGTTAGAAAAGGGCTCTAAACGTTGCGCGTTTATATGTTAAGAGAGAAGCAAAATAAAACTTTTTTTTACTGTATTTAGAACTTTAATAGAATGGTATGTGACCATTCTACTTTAAAAAAAATTCTTGCAGCAGGAAGAATGAAGTTATTATAACTAGTAAGTATTGATTCTAAATGTTGTACCCTTTTAAATCATGTATTTTGAGAAAGAAACTTAGTTGATTGCTGTTTCATATATGTATTTACTGATATAGCTTTGGATCTGGCCTTGCCATACTTTTATTATTCAAGTAATTATTTAAACTGTTTCCTCAACCTTGAAACTAATTAAAATGGGAAGGATTTTAATGCTTATTTCATAGGTGAAAAAAGCTATGAAATGAATGCTACGGATGCCGTGAAGCTATGAAGCTTATCGTATGAGATTTAATTAGCATAAGAACTTTTACCTTCTCTTTGTCAGAAAGTTAAAAACAATAAGTGTAGTACAAGTAAAATTGTGTGAGGCTTGAATCTCTTTCCGTCTGGGTAAAGAACTCTGGTCACAGAATATTTTATACTAAAAAAAATTCTTATTTGAAAGATACATTTTAATTTCACTTTTTTTCTTTGGAAAGAAAGCCTTTTGTATTTGGGTGTTACACATGTAACATGCACATATGTGAACACAGGCGCACGATTCTTTACAGCCTGTCTGTAGCTCTGTGTCCCCTGCATCTTTCAGTGGGGTTAAGGCATTGCTGAAAGATGGATGCTGTGGAGGCGCCACACACCTCACGCAGGAAGGAAGAGAAGGCAAAGGGCAGATCATGAAATGGAGCCAGGAATGAGGACGGGCACAGAGTGCACACAAGGAAGTTGCATATGCTCCCTAATGAAGAGATGGTCACCATTTTGTCATGAATTTTTCCAGCAGTCTACACAAAGAAGGAAATTTGATCAGGTATTTGAGTCACAGTTTCCATGAAATGAAAGCAGAACAACTGCTTTGGCAGAAATCTGGGTTGACTTTCTGAAGTCATTCGCTTTGGTTGAATATTCTCGCCCCAAGTTGGGCAAGAGCCTAGACTAAGCGATTATTTGAAGGGAACCAAAAAAAGTTATCTTTCCTCTAAGAGGTACAGTCTGTTAGACTTTGTGGGTCTAGAAGTACAAAGCCGGAGGGCCCTGTCTAATTACAGTTTTAAAAATATATTTCTCATATATGATAAAATTATGTTTATTAAATTATATGAAAGAAAAACTTGAAAATTGGTAAAAGCCATGTGTACAAAAAAGAGGAATTTAAAAATATTTAAAGATATGATCAATACAGAGAGCTACACATGTTGAAATTTAGAAGACCATATCAAATCTGAAACAAGAAGTAAATTATCTAATACTCCTAGAACATTAATTCACTTGAGGACATTGAGAAGGGAGCAATCTAGGAGGATAATTCTAGCTTCAGAAGTGTGTGTAGTAGAGTTAGGTGTTTATGTTTAGGGTTCCAGCTCTACCTCCAGGTGTCAATATCATTCAAGGCTAATCATGTCTCTTTTCTTGCAAGATGAGAGGGGGTCAAAATTAGTGGTTGCAAGAGAGTAGGCAGGAGCTCTTGGCCTCCTCATCATACAGATTCTAATCACAGAATTGTACTTAGGCCTTCACCCACAAAATGTCCCTTTGGTAAAATGTCTTTCCAGGGACTAAGAGCAGGTTTAGTACGTATGGCCACCAGATGGCAGCAGTGCACTCTGCATAAAAGGAGCAAAGCCAGACCGTTTTTTTGTTTTCCACCCACTAAATTCTCCACTAAGAAACAGCAATGTGAATATAATTGGAATGGCCATTAATGGAATATGTTAAAAAAACAATTTTAATCCTTCTTGTAAATCTGAGAGCAGGACTTTAAAGAAGTATGCACACTTGGAATTATTTTCCTAGAAAATTTAACATGCTATTTGCTTTTAGCACCCCCCCCAACTAACCTAATATACAAAAACAAAACAAAAGGGAAAAAAAGCAAAACTTTTTTGGGGGTACACCTTCCAAAGAAGCTGGGAAAGATTATTATTTGAAACTAAATTATTAGTAATTAATTTATGGAGCCCAGATCTTCTTATACCAATTCAGGGAAAAAAAGTGACTAAATTAGTATTGAAGATAGTAATAGTTAGTATTTATTGACCACCTGGTATGTGCCAAGGATTGTATTTAAATACTTTGAAAACATTAGTTTACTGAATGTGGATGAAAACTTTTCAAGAAAGCGCAGGTTTGAACATCAGCCTGTTTAGAGCCATCATCCCTGTATTTTCCACAACCTTGTGCTTGTTCTGCTTGAGCCAGTTTCACAAAAACCCATACGGAAGGAGAAATTGGAACAGCTTTTAAGGTATGTTTTTGAGTACAAACAGGGATGTATTATTCTCCCTTTTTATGACTTGCTCTCACATGTAGTTGCATAACATTAATTCAGTGAGATACTGAATAATTGAGTGATGTATTTTAATTCTATAGTTATATCTTCTAAAAATGTAGATTGGTTTGGGAGCAGTAAATTCATGCATGCTGAAATATAAAGGATCGATAGTAACATAATTACATGTTGAAGAGGGCAAGGGGGGGAGAGGAATACTAGGTGCTTGACTAGTACTGACCGGGCAGGGAGGCTAGGATTTCAGGTGAGCAGCCTTTGCACTTCTGTGGTTACCCCTGCTTAGTGCCTTTGGAGAGCCTTACCTCTGTGTGCTCCTAGACAGCAGCATGTAACCTGATGCAGCAAACACGCTTTCCATGTGTTGCAGAGACTGAACATGTTTCAAATCCTTCAGAGGCAAATATTAGGAAAGCAAGCTTTAAAGACAGAGTCATAGCAAGTGGTATCTGTGTCCGCAGTGAGAGTGAAGACATCCCCAAGACCTACGTTTCTCCTGTAATTCACTTCTAAATTGGACTACAACCTCCCATAGAGGAAGGGAGGAACAAGATGGCAGAGACTAAAAACATGATTAAGATAATTTCTTTGTGGATAATTTTATTGTCCAGTAAAGCTGCACTTTAATGTACTTTATTTCTAATATCTTTAAGAGAAATACAACAAAATGATATGGCATTATCAAAGGACAAAAGCTGGCTTTAGACCAATAGGAGGCAGAGAAAGTCACTCTTGTTTTTTGCACAAGATAGCCTTAGGGTGGGATGTTTAAAAAAGAGAAAGGGGTGGGGATGTGGGCTTAGAGAAGGATGTTCACAAGGAGGGAGAGGTGGCGGCATGATACTTCCTCTCTCCAGAACCATGTACCCAGGTATCTGCAGGCAATGGCAGGTGAACTCAGGCTGCTAATTAGCTATTGCAAATCAGTAATAGCAGCCGCCATCAACCCCTTCCGTGCGGCGCTCCCGCTCCCGGCGCGACGCCCACCCGGCACGCACGGCGGGACGCCCCGCCCTCCCGGCACGCACGGCGCGACGCCCGCCCTCCCGGCACGCACGGCGCGCACGGAGTCTGCGCTGCGCGTGGACCGCGGCGTTTGCTCTCGTGTGACGAGGACAGCTGGAGGCTCTGAGAGCTCGCTTCACTTCACAGGCAGCTTTCCTTGTAACGTAAATCAGAACAGGTAACATACACATATATGTTTTCATTGCGTTATTTTTAAATGCTCACAATTTTATTTTGATAAATGAAAAATTAGAAAAGTCACATCACGGCTGCCGGCTACGGTCGCTGTGCGCGCCCCTCTGTGGCCCTCGGCTGCGGTCGACGCTGGTACCGAAGTGGTTAACTAAGTAATTGCTTATTAGGGGCCAGACATTGTTCATACCTATGTTTCTTATTTAGTCCTTTGGCCAGCCCTACTGGGGAGCTGGGTAATGCCTTTTCTCTACGAGAATAACTTGCCAGGGTCCAGCAGTTAGCAAATGGCACAGTTAGGCTTTAAACTCTATTCTCTTAGCAGGTCCCCTCTGTTTTTCCAGGGCCAGCACCTAGACCGTGGTTGGTGGTGTATGCTCACTGACTGCCACTAGGGGTCACAGTATCCAGTATGAAGGAATTAGTCAGTGCAATTGGATCTAAATGTAATTAATTATATACCTATGGCCTGTAGAAGTTCAGTTCTACTAAAATTGAAACACGAAATTGGGGCATTATAGAGGATTACTGGGAAAATAAGAATAGATTTAAATAAAATTTTCTCCTCCCCTCTTTCTTCCTGCCGTGAACAGAAATAAAGGAAAATACAACAGAGAATAATTCCAACCCACTGGCAGCACAACCAGAGCTTTTATCCCATCCACCTGGCAGTTGGCCCAGAAATGATGAGCTCAGACTTCACTAATGGTTGCAGGAGAGTGGAGCGGCAGGGAGTTCACAGTATTTTAAAAGCAGAGTAAACATAGTTTGAGCATTAAGACAAAGCTGCTAACAATTGTGGACACTCTTTTACTCTCTATCACGATATTTAATTTGGGTTGTATAGGGTGACTTCTCTGTGACTGCCATCCCCAGAATTCCTGCTGTCTGAGGGACACAGGTCAGGCTGGAATTCTCACACAGTTTTCATAGAGCAAAGCAGGGAGCCCGCATATCACAAGCAACGCTCACATCCTACAGGAAACTACATTGAATGGTACAATCAACAATGCCTTCACAGTGCAGGTGCACGTTTTTCTAAACAAATGTTTGTCAACAATGTTTTCTAAACAAATGTTTGTCTAGAAAGATTTTTAAGAAATTCCATGTAGCTCTGTGTGTGGCAATTTCCTTAGGTGAAAAGAGTGCTAATAGTCACTATGGTAACCACGATGGAGGTAAGGACAAAGAAGATCAGACCCAGACGACATAATTTTGATTGCTTCTCCTGTTTCTTTTCCTTTTTCAATAAAGTGTCAAAACCCGGCGTGTACATGTCTCCCAACCAAAACCGTAGGTCATTAGGATTTTCCTAAAAGAAAATTACATGGAAAATATTATCAATCAGTCGGCATTACAAACTAATTTGAGTTGCAGAACAAGATACTGTCTCAAGTACTGAAGGTCCATATTCACGCTGTCCTGGGCGAGACTTAAGTGTCACAGCTCAAATAAGCGAGGCCAGGCTTCTCTGAAAAGCATAAACACACAGGTGCAGTCGCCCGGCTGACCGGGAGCCCTGCAGTCACAATCTGTATGTCTGCATCAAAATTAATTAGGAGTCTTGCATGATTTTTTTTTAAATTAAATTGCCCACATTGGAGGGTCAGAAACACAGCAGTGTTTTAGTCAATTTAGTGTTTCTTACATCTTATAAATAGTAGATGTAATCAGGTTAGCGAGTTGAAATAGAATTAAAATTCTTTGCTTTAGATGAACCTTAGAGGTTTGATTTTGTCTGCATAGCAGGAATAAATACTTTGGTGAGTTTTTCAGTAAATCCAGAAGCTGACTTCCATGGAAGGAGCAGCAAGACTGGGAGTTAAGAGTCCCTTGCATGATTTTTGATCTGCCAGTCTTCCTGGCAGAGTGCCGCAGCACGCCCGACACACAGAGTCTTCGGCACCGTTTCACCTCCTGAGAAGAGCCATTGTATCTTCACATCAGCTCCTATTTATTCCCCATGTCTGTCTGTCTTTCACAGGCCTTATTTTCCTTTCGGTGCCAGAGAATCATCTTCAAGTCAACTTGGTCTCCTCTGTCTGATAAATCACCTGCAAACTCTACTGTCAAGTACATTTATAAAATACACTTCTCTTATCATCTCTAAAACACCTGCTTTCTTTTGGTGCAGTAGATACAGTGTCTATGCCAGTAGGCACACAACAAATTTACAATGAATGTTAAATCTCTGCTTTCACAAGGGCCTTATTATTTCTCACCTACAGTATCATAATGGCTTGCAGTGGGCCGCACACGCTCTCTCTGCCTCTCCAGGCTCAGCGGACTTAAAATCAGCTGGCCATGCGGCTCGACACAGCCAACTTCCTTGGCCAGCCTCAGGGGCCCAGGATCTGGCTTCAGACGTGCGGGTGCACTGCGAGGAGAGCGCGCGCATGCAGGGAGCGGGGCTCTGGCGATGGCCATGTAGCCATTACGTTGATACACATTTGAGTGTCCCAGTCTTAGATGTGCTAAAATATTAAAATAAAATTTAGGCGACCTGTGCACAATGATTTAAAAATCCTGTCTACCTTCTTCTTATCCTTCATTTCGTTTGTGTCCTAATCAGTGGCCTGCATTTTGCTGCACGTTTAACATCTCTGTTCTCCATTAGGAGCCTACATAATGGAGACTGTCCTTTTTTACATTCTACTTCTAGCCTGCCTTGGCAATTAAATATGGGATTTCTTTTCTCTTTTCTGACTCTTACAGACTCTTAGCAACTTAGAAAAATGCAAGTGGTTAAAGGCACTTGGAAAGTTTATTGCCTATAAGTGGTATCAAGTTTTCAGAAAATAAGTTAGGTTCTGGGTGCTAATTATGAGATATCGATGTGGTAGTGGTGAAAGAGGTTTAGTGAATGAAATATAGAAAGAAATTCTAACAAAAACAAAAGTCATGGCTTCCAGAAGCATCTTTCAAGAAGTTATTGCTAAAGAATAGCTTCACGAGGTCCGTGAACGGACGCACTGTTCTGAGGAGAGTGAGTGCACACAGAAAGGAATCTGCTGGGCAGGGCCAGATCTTGCTTTTACTAAAACGATGATAAACAGAACTCATAGAATTGTCCAAATCACTGTTATTTTCTGGCCATCCTATTACTTAAAATGCAGGCCCTGCAACACTGCACTTGTTGTTCTGACAAAGTCTCTCACTTTCCTATGTTTCTGCCATTGCTCTTGGTACTCCTGACAGAGGAGCCTCCCACTCATGCACACCATTTACATCTTGGGGAATACTTTACATTCTTCAAATGCACCATAAAGTCACTTTTTCATGAAGTCTTTTTATAATCAGATGTGATTTTTGTTCCTTCACGAATCTGCACAGCACGTTGTGCTACTACTGCCTTCAGCTTCCTCTATCTTGTTCGAAAGTGATTGTTAATTTACTCAGTTACATGCCCTTTTTTGGGGGCAGAGACAGTAACATTCACCTCTATGGTCCCCTTGGCTTACAAGTAAACAGCAAAGGAAAGAGGACCTAGCATAGCATCAAGAAATGTTTGTGAAATAAATTGATATTTTTCTTTTTCTTCATAGAGAACCTGATCTTAAGACTCCTGATAAGAAACACAAGATTTTTTTTTAAAGAAAGAAAAGATACACAAGATTATTCTGAGGGTAGCATCACTTATGGAGCCTTCTCTGGAAAAGGCATACATTACCGATAAGACACATTCAGTCTGCTGGGAGATTAAGAAGCTTCAAACATCTGGACAACAGGTATTTCAATGAGTGCATATTTGATGTTTTTAATTGTGTGTAGGATTTAAGGGGACAGGGTGGTGTCCCTGTCAAAAGAAAAAAAATCCTCAAGTGTTTCAGGTGTGGGGTTAGAACAGATACGCATTTTTGAATGAAGGGTGAGTATTTGCTCAGCACGGGCCTTCGTGGCCCAGGCAAGCAGAGGAGAGCCCGGACTGCACAGCAGTCCAGGCATTCAGAGACAGAGGCAGGACCCCTGTGTTTCAGGTATCGTGAGGTCTTCCATGTGGTGGGTGATGCGAAGGGGAAAACAAAAGAAAAACAAGCTGGGTTTAAGCTGGGTGAATGAGTTCATTGCATACTTTTCCTGTGTTGAAATGTTTTTGTTTTGTTTTGTTACTGAGACACAGGAAAATGACCAAAATGTAAATCTGCACTCTTAAATCACTGAGTGAGCTTGAAATAGAATGCTCTTTGATGAACACTCCCTTGCACAGTGCCCAAGACAGAGCACTTAATATTTTTGCATACATGTAGAGCAGGAAACCAGATCTTAAATGTTTAAAACATAAATGATCACAAACTAGGAGAAAATATATGTGATCTTGCAAATTAATTGTTTCAAAGCTTTTGCCCTCTCGGAAAACCTTTGTTCTGTGCCACATCATTTTCCCTCCCTATGCTACCCAGATGCCAGTAACTGCTGAAATTGTAAAAGTCAAAACAAACACAAATGATGACCAAGAGAGAGAAAGGACTGCTAGAGGCCAAAATAATCTGAAATCTGGAGATTTTGTGCCTAGTGAAGAGTTCCTGAACACGCCCTTTTAAAAGGATCATTGAACTGATCTCCCTATCAGTTGGAGAAGGCGATTCCTGGCCTTGAGTACCTTTAGGTGCCCAGAGAGGTTGGTGTGCAGGGAACGTTTATCATAGTCCTCAATGGTCCACGAGGGGCTCTTTTTTCTCTCCTCCATAGCTTCCTCCAGACTCACGTCGCCATAGAGTGGGTTGTTCTTGGTCACTGACAATGCGGATGATGGGGGGCTGCCCGCCGCGGCAAGGCACTCTGCACCGGACCCCCTGGGCCGCTGAGCAGCAGTGTTCTTCTTTTCTCTCTGTTACAGGATGAGAGACAGGCTTCTCTTAGCAATGAGCCTTCTGAAGGCAGAGAATGTAACATGAGATGACTGTGCCCGAAAATGTGCTGATTCTGCCTAGAAACCCAGCAGCTTAGGACAATGGACCAGAAAAGGGTCTAGGGTCTGGTTTGACATAGAAACCCACCATTAATCGAGTCCTTTCTTTGTGTGTAATCTTGATCAGTTTTAATAATCATTCATTAAACTGCTATTTTATAGCTACAGAGAAAGAATACTGTTATTAATTCAAATACTAGAATTCTGAACAAAGCCATCTTTTTCCAACTTATTTGCATTGAGATTTAATGACATCTTACTTTCTCTGTTCATTCTATGATTTAGAAATTATCAATTCAGCAACGTCTAAATTAAAAGACATTTTAGAGATATGCTTTGGCTTTCACAGATGCTCTCTTAGTTCTCATTTCAGACAGCTTTGAAGACTGGGCTAACAGCATGCTATGTGTAACTTAGCCTCTGTGTGTGTTCACAGACCAGCTGGCTATTATATGGCTCTAATATTGACTTTCAGAATTTTTAAAACATTTTTATTGAAGAATTACAGAAATATAAATGTGTACATGTGATAAATATATAGATCAATAAATTTTAACAAACCAAATAAGCCCAAGATTCAACACCCAGACCAAGAAGCAGAACATTATGAGCATACCTCCTGTTCCTCTGCCACCACCCTCCCTCTGCCTGAGAAATTCTAACAGCATAGGTTCATGTGGACTGAATTTGTATTTTATATGAATAAAATCATACAACGTGTGTTTTTCTGTGTCTGACTTTCAGATTTTTTTCCTTTTTTTGTTTCTTAGAACCATACAGCTATCATGAAGGTAGAAAATTTTGAAATTAAAATTTGTTCATTGGCCAAATACAAATTGGGAAGACACAAAAATCTTACAGTAATGCCTTACTTACATGAGGCATCAAGAGAGAAATTCCATATTGGTTAATGTTAGATAACTTAGGTTTAATCTTTATAAACTGGAGGCTATTTCCTTAATTTACAGCACTTTTTCAATAAATATGTTAAACATATTTTAGCCATCATAAACCTAGAATTTTCAATAGGAATTTTATTCCACTCATTATTTATGATCATCAATACCCTTCTGATTTGAATCTCTCCCAGTACCAAAACAAAACAAAACATACCCTTGTGCTCAGAATCTATTGGGGTATGTGGGTCACATTAAATATGTACTATATAAGCTAAAGTTGTACACTTATATCACATATAGTTTCTTCCTGAAATAGCTAGTGCATAAAAAAAATCATCAAGATAAAATCATTCACATTCTCTTTGGTGTTGGGTCTCTAACTTTCTTAATCCATGCATCTCTCATATACTTAGAGATCAGCTTAGAGATCCTCTCTGACTTTAATAGGTTTGTGATCTGCTCAAAGTTAGTTTGTCTTCTATAATACCAAAGTTTACAATGAAATAATAAATCTTCATGACTTGCCATTTATGTTAAAGATGGATTACCTCAACAGAAATGTTTCTGAATGAGCAAAAAATAACTTGATAAGAAATTCAGATTCTATGAGGTTAGCATAATTCTTAGTTTTTTGTTTTTCTTTATGACTAGAAATCTTTGATCGCCTTTGAAGAGGGATAATTCTTTTGACATTGACAAATTGGCTTTGTCAGGTTATTTGTGTGCTAAACAAATTGCTGAGCTTCTTAAAGAAGAAAGCTCTATAAATGAGGAAAATACTGTTGTGGGGGTAAAAAAGATTACACACTCTATTACAATGTACATAGACTTTGAAAAACCTAAAGATAGCAAAATAATCAGAGGTATATTCTAAAAGAACATTTTAGTCCTTATTTCTAGGCCATATTCTTGAAAGTTTATTCTTCAACATGATGCCATCCAATTTTGCACTGCATATCAATTTTATATGTGAGGGACATGTGAAGGAAAAATTAATAGTATAAATTTGTTAACAACTTAATGACAGTATTTAATTAGTATTAAAATACTAATTATGATTGAAGTTTATTTGCATTTTGTATTTTTTCCCAAATAGCTATAAGGAGAAAGAATATTTATTTAACTTCAACCCGCAGTCTTTAAGGAAGAATACTTTTACCAGGGAACAACTCAATAGCAATTTCATTGTTTTAATTATATGGACCCTAAAATAAATAACATTTAAAAATATTTATTTAAATAAAGTAACACTTCAAAACTCACTTGGACTTTTTGTATTAAGAATTACTTTTTCTACTTATCATGTATATACTTTAATTATTATGCTCTTTATGAGAAAGTGAACTATCATTCAATAAAGAGACTGAAATATATATTTGGGCAAATAAAAGTTAAGAGAACACAATTAATAGGCCATTAAGGAAAGAACCTTTAAATCAATTCAAAAAGAATATTGATAACAGAAGAAAAGATTAAAATACAAGAAGGGATACTGAGAGAAAGGAAGAAAGAAAATTGATAAATGTATTTATAAATCCAAGCAAGCTTTGATTTTATAAAATCAAAATAGATTTAAAACAGAAATAATAATAATCACTAATTTGTGAGTTTTAAGAGAAATGAAAACACTAGCCAATAATAGGTTTAACACAGATATTTTTGATTAGGGAATTTTAAGACACCATTTCAGTGAGGGGAAAGAGATATTACTAAAAATTAGAGAAATAATGGATAGCTTCTAAATCTTTAGAGCAGGATAAGAAAAAGAAAAAAAGAAAGTTGATCAATCTTTAAGAAGACCAGAAAAATAAAATAGAAAATATAGGCAATATTTTGCCTATCTGAATAAAATAGAAAAATTTTTATAAATAATCACATTAAATGTAAATGGACTAAACTCCCTATTTAAATGACAGAGATTGTCAGATAAGATTTTTAAAAATAAATTAAATTTTATAATATGCCTAAAATATAAGGACTTAGAATGAGAGTGAAAGAATGTAAAAATATATACTAAGCAAATATAACAAATAAGAGCTGGGTGCTGTGGCAACTGGCTAAATGCTTACCAATTTTCTTTCCCTTTTGCAAGCAGAGATAATGCCTGCCTTTCCCGATCTGTTTTGAATTTTGACTGGGGCCAGTTGTTTTATGGCCAATCATGTGTGGACAAAAGTAATAGAAACCAATTGCAAGTCTAGCCCCTGAAATCATCAAGATTTTTGGCTTGCTTTTAATCATTTTTCTGTGGGTGTGACACTGTAAGCAAGACTTCTGAGATATAAAATGAAATAACCTGATATCCTGGGTCACTGCTTGGAAAGAAACTGCCCCCAAAACCCATCTTCCATTCCTAAGAATTTTCATGAATAAGAACATTTATTTTCATTTTTAGTTACTGATACTTTGTGGGGTATTTGTCACTACAATGTAGACTAGCCTACGTTCCCTTATACAGAAAGTGATGTTTTGAAATTATACAAATGTGCAACATTGCCTTAGCAGTCAAGAAGTGGAAGGGTATGAAAGTGATATCAGAATCTGGAATAATTATTATTCATATTATACGTGGAAAACACTTGGTATATGTGTCACCTGTGGTAATTCAGAAGGTAATCACCTTCGGAGATATGCTTGTCAGTAATCAGAACATTTATATACTTACAATGATTTTACAAGAATCAGAGCATTCTTGTGAAACAAGAAAACATGAGATCACAGAAAGAACTGAGTAGTGGACAATAAGAAATGAATGAGCAGAGAGTCTAGAAACTAGATGCCTTTTAGTACTGACAATCTGACTGTAGACAACAAACAGTGAAATAGAATTATTTTTCAAAAAAGAATGAAAAAGGATAAGGGCATTGAGCATAAAAGCTCAGTTTAATTTCTCAGCTGAATGAAGTGACAGCAGAAATCATATTCAGTGTATGGTTTCATAACTATTATTTTAGACAGCCTCCAGGTGGTTGTCAAGAAGCCAAAGGATCAAGAAATAGAGGTAGGAAAGCAAAGCAATAAAGCCAATTTGAGATCCGTGTCTTCAAAAGAACTTTAAGTGTATTTATTGACCTATAGAACTGACTGGAACTAAATAGATAAGAATATATTAATAAATAGTTTAGCAGTTTTTGTAGGAAATGCATTTCCAAAGGAACACCAAGATTAGGTGTAAAACCTCACGAATGTGTAAAATAAAATAAAAATGCCCAAACCAAACCAAACAACAATAACCCTAGATCCCCAAATATACAAAAGTGGAAGTAAAGTTTGAAGTATATACAGCCTTGAAGAAGGACCCACTTTGATATGGCAAAAAGGAATGGTGAACAAGGGGATGCTTCCCAGAGAGTGGAGAGGTCCTCCCAAAAAGCAGAATCTGGGCCTAGTCAGTTTTCTCCACTTTCAAAAAAGGAGGTCTGCACAAATTGTTCCAGTGGGATGGTTCTCTGAATCACTTCAGAGAAGTGACTTCTGTGTCTCTTGTTTTTCCCATTCAGAAAGGAAGAATTTACTATGATAATCCTATTTCTAGTCTAACAAAGTTTGTAGGATGGTATGGAGAGGGATGTCTGGTTGACCTTGGGATTGTTACTTCTGGGGGAAAATGAATGTGCTCTATGTGTGGAAAGTGATTATACATACATGATGATATAAGATGTATATCAAATGTAATTTTATAAATATATATATTTAACAGAATGAAACAGTGGTAAATCCTGACTAGATGCTCAGAAAACTCATTTCTTCTCCATGGGTACACAGCAGTTCAACAGTTGAATTAGTCATATGGCTAATGAAGCTCACGGTTGCCCACTAATGTCCCTGGCAAGACCCTTGGCTTTCTCTTTGCCTTTCCTATCTGCAGCCTGTACAGGCTTTTATGTTGAGGAGCCTCAAGAAGGAAGGGGCTTGGATTCCACATGGGAGTGAGTCTCCTAGGACATCTGTAACACCATGTCAGACCTTTTGTGAATGAGACACACATTTATTGTGTTAAGTCACTAAGAATTTGGGTGTATTTGTTTCCACAGAGTAATTTAGCCTGCTAAACCCCTTCCCTGCGGCGCTCACCGGCCATGACGCCTCACCCACACCGGCCCTCACAGTGCGCACGGAGTCTGCGCTGCGCATTGATCCGTTTTGCTCTCGTGTGATGAGGAAAGCTTGAAAACACTGAAAGCTCGTTTTACTTTACAGGCAGCTTTACTTGTCATGTCAATCAGAATAGGTAACATACACATATATGTTTTCATTACGTTGCTTTTAAATGTTCACAATTTTATTTTGATAAATGAAAAATTAGAATTTAATTCTAATAAAAGCTGTAAAAGTAAAAGCTTGTTGACGCTGGGTCATATCATGGCTGTCGGCTAAAGTCGCTGTGCGCATTCATTTGTGGCTATCAACTATAGTTGACGTTGGTACTGAAGTGGTTAACCACAAAGGAAAAAGAAATATATGTATATATCAGACAAAAGAGACTCAAGGTATAAGAGTTTGTTAGATATAAAGAAGGTTGCTAGAAAATTAATAAAGTTAGACATTATCAGTAAAAATAATTCTAAGCTTTATG